CACCTAGCTTACCAATTTGCCAATTTCGCGCGCGGGATACGCAAAAGTATCGCGCGCAATATTTTTAAATCGCATATCGCATTACACCGTGCTTACGAAATCACACATTATGCACAAGTGCACTCAAACGATAATTGAAGTATTGTTTGTGTTTCCAAGTGTATTATTATTTTCATCAAAGTGTTCTTATGCATGATGGAATAGTATGTACACAATAAAACAATAACTCACAATCGGGGAAAATTTGCTCCGCACCCTAAGTCGATTAGACGACTCTTGTTGTTGTTGTTGTTGTTTTTTTTTTTTTTTTTTTTTTTTTTTTGGACATGTGTTTTAGTAGCTATGGCTTTTTAGGCGTTATTCACTACGAGATCATTCCGTTGTGAAAACCAGAAGCACACCTATGGATCTTTTGAACACAACTTCGAAAAAAAAAAAAAATCGCACTTCACGAGTTTTGGTTGAGTTGTGCAACTTTGATCTTGTCGCACCGTGTTCCCAGGAATCATGTAGACGCAAGGTGCATCGTGGCCCTCTCGCAATGTTCCAAAATATCGCAATACGCTTCTTTTCATTTCGTTTGGTGCATAGTGTTCCGGTCTGGGTCTTTTTATCTGACCAGGGCCCAAAATTGATTTAGAGGCACTCTTGGTAATCAAGGTACCTAAAAATGATTGCCCTGTCTCCTAGGGTTAAAATTTATGCACTCTTTGAAAATCATGGTGAATTCGTAAGGAAAAAAAAAAAAAAAAAAAAAAAAAACCCTGAATGGACAGGGTACTAAAGTTAACACACTGTCCGCTAGACAGTAACTTGTTGCTTCGATTTCAGCATCCTGAGTGAGTTTGAGGGACGTGATTGGTCCTTCACTAAAATCATGCAGTAAGTTTGAGGCAAGCTGGAGCAGATGTGAGTATCGCGACGGGTCCTTTGCCAAAATGATGCAGGTAGTCTAATGTGAGTAGTAGCAGGTGTGAGGGGCATGACTGGACCTTGGCAAAAACCACGCATGCAGTCCGTGTTAGAAGAAGCCAAGGAAGTCAGGAAAATAGCGAGAGGTTTTAGCTAGGTAGGGAAAGTGACTAGAGAAAAGAGAGAGAGATACAAGAAGGGTGTTGTACCCTCTATAGTAGGATCCACAATTGTAGAACACCTAACAAGCCTACACAACTATATATATAAAATATATGAGTTGACACACCTCCTAGGTTGGTAGGCACTAGCACACCACACACGCAATACCCCCAAATCCTTGCACCCCCATGTCCTGCAGCGGCTGCAGCTTATACCCCTCATGTAAAACGGCGATATCGGCGGCGGGTGGCAGCAACGGCGTAAGCGCCAGCTACAACGACGACTGCGGCGGCGGCGGTGGCGGGTGACGGCGGAGCGGCAGCCTCGACGACGGCGGCAGCGACTGCGAAGCCAACGGCACCCGGCGGCGTGGCACAGCCCGGCGACGGCGGGGAAGGGAGCCATCAGTTGCGGCTGGGATGAGGGGAGACGCAGGGGAGAGAGAGTGTCTTCAGCGAGGCGCCTTGACTGGAGCGCTGGCTGGCGTGCGGGCGTGCTGGCTGGCGCCTAAAACAGTGTGCTGGTTGCTGCCGTCCGTGCGCTGGCGCAGCCGCAACCGTCTGTGCGCGCTGGTGCAGCCGCAACTGTCCGTGCGCTGGCGCAGCCACAGCCGTTCGTGCGCGATGGCGCAGCCGCAGCCGTCCGTACGCTGCTGCATCCGCAGCCGTCCGTACGCTGCTGCATCCGCAGCCGACCGTGCGAGCTGGCCGCAGCCGTCCGTGCGCTGGCGCATCGAAGCCGCCGCGGCAGCACGACGACGCCACGGCAGCATGATAAGGCCGCTGCGGCAGCACGGCCAGGCCGCCACGGCAGCGCGGCAAGGCCGCCATGGCTGCTCCACGAGACCGCCATGGCAGCAGGACGTGGCCGCCATAGTAGCTCGTCGAGGTCACCGGGGCAACGCGACGAGGCCGCCACGGCTGCTCGACAAGGTCACCGGGGCAGCGCGGTGAGGCCGCCACGTCAACACATGGAGGCCGCCTCGGTGGTGCGAAAGTGAAAGGAGAGGAGAGAGTGCGCGGTGCAAGTGTGAATAGGAGACTGAGCAAGATCTTCTTGCTCTGATACCATATTAGAAAGAGCTAAAAAGCTAAGGTAGGCATGAGAATATCGAGAGGTTTTAGCTAGGTATGAAAAGTGACTAGAGAAAAGAGAGAGATACAAGAAGGGTGGTGTACCCTCTACAGTAGGATCCACAGTTGTAGAGCACCTAATAAGCCTACACAACTATATATATGAAATATATAAGTTGACAGTCCAATGCGAGCTAGAGCAGTTGTGAGGGGCGTGACTGGCCCTTAGCGAATAGCACGCATGCAGTCCGACGCGAGCTGTAACAGGTGTGAGGGGCTTGACTGGCCCTTCGCCAAATCACGTGTGTAGTCCGAGGCAACTTGTCAAATCTGGGGGCCTTGTTTTTGTCTGTTTCAGTGTGTTTTCAGCGACACCCTGTCCGGTCAGGATAGAACTCGGAGTACTCTTACAGTACAACAGCAGGGTAAAACAAAACTTACACTTTTTTACAAAGGGTCACAAAAAAAATGCCCTTGCAAAATCAGGGTGATCTGAAAAAAGTGGCCGCTGGCAAGGGCAATCACGGTGAAATGCCCTTAAAAGTTGAGCCCTGTATCTTCAAAAAAGAGAAAAGTTTTCAAGAGCGTCCAACGTGTGTCTTTTTAGCCTGTGATTTTAAACTGTTCTAGAAAAGGCAGTCCCGCCCAGCCCTGTGTATCTGATGTTCAGTTACGAAACAATAGCAAGTTGTTAACTTAACTAATCAGCCATCACTTAGCAGCACGGCAGCCATTCACATTATGAGAAAGAATGGCACCATTTATACACATAACGTGAATAGAAAGCCACCAACATCAGTCTTGTTCGCATGTTATGAGTCTTTCTTGGACTCAATAGAGCCATTCACTGAACTTCCGCCACCATTTGCCAGAACTGGCTCAGCCTCCCGCAAGGCGATAATGCAATTTGAGAAATCGGAGGACAGGGGGAGTGGTTAGCTTTCCTGGAAAGTAACAGAGGAATAAACGGAGGGGAGGCAAAGCATGAGACGGAGTGCATTTCAAGGGGGGAAGACGTAGGGGGAGAAGGTAAGGGAGACAAGGGAAGGGGGGGGGAGTGGGTTAGGGGAGGTGAGTGAGGGACGAGGGAAAAAAGGAGGGTGGGAACAGGAAGGACAGTAAAGAGAGGCTCTCTAATTGGTTGTGCTTTGTTTGCTCCCTATTTGTAAGGGCACGAGGGTCCGTCCCTAAGCGCGAGTTTGTACTCTCGGCCAATCAGACGGAAGACGAGCACCTGCGGAGAGGGCGGACGGCATCAGGAAAAGGATGGAGATAAGGGGACGGCGCAAGAGAGGAGCAGTGCACAGAACGATTAATGAAGTACAATTGATGCACAATGCTTGACGTACAAAGATTGACAGTAGAAGGATTAACGGAAGACGAGGTCACTAACTGATACGAATCAGGAGCGAGCCAGCTTTGTATCAGTAGAAATCGACGCTGAAGGCAAGCGGAGAAATTCAGTGGTTGGTTGTAAGCACCAACGGCTTACCAGTAGTTTGTCCCACAAACGCAGGAGGATGTTGACTAAAGGCAGGAGGAAGAGAGGGAGGTGGCAAAAGACGCAGACCTGCAGCGAAGAGGAAAAAGTTGTACAGACACTGGAATGGAGGCAACAGCTCTCAACAAAGCATGAAACGATAGAATTAAGCGTAAGACGAGCACTGCACGCTTATGTACCATGGTTGCCGAAACTTAGCTGAAAGCAGTCAGCCGTCTGATTAGCGTAAATTAATAAGAACCGGAGATCAACGGCCTCGGAGAACGAAGAGTGACTTGGAAGAGTCAGGAACCTAGAAAGTAGATCGGAGTGCCGCTGTACCGGTGCCTTGGCTACTACTGGGCGATGTTCGTGTGCCACCAGGAATAAACATCTGGGAAGGGTTTAGGAAATGGGGGAGGTAGGTTTCGGTGGTCAAGAGGGGTTCGTGTGCCACCGACACCTACCCCGAACGCGGCCCGACCGACATGCCTCGTGGGGGGGAAAGGTGGGAGGAGGGGGGGAACTAAACGAAAGTGCGAGGTACCCTTTCGGAAGCCTCGCTCATTAAATTGATATTTCACAACATTCCAGGGCACTGTAGAAGGGCAGCAACGGGTAAACCGTAAATTTTGCCTAAACAAAAAAATGCCCGACAGGAAGGGGGCGCCTGCTAATGCGATCCTCTTGCAAGGTCGAATGGGTTGTTGTGTGTTGGACTTGTGAGTTTGACATGGCGTGGGTTGGGAAGCGAGGGCTTATAAATCTGGTTGCCCCTTGTTGGGAGTGTAGGGTTTTTTTTTCCAAGCTTGCCAGATGCGGAGGAATAAGCCAGCATGCTAGGGAAGATATTGCCCAATTCAAGCATCCAATCTGTATCTGCAAATACCGCTGCAGAGCTATTCTGCCGATGGGGGAGCTGGATGTTGTACTGTAGCAAACATCCAGCATTGGCTAGGTGGTCGCGCCGCACATTTGGCGCCAGGCTCGACCATTTTTTTTTTATGATTTTGGGGGCTGCCCGCAGTGTAGAGCCCTAGCTCGGGGCCTTGGAACCTTCGTGTGGAAGCTTCGAATCTTTATTCCATGTTCGGGAAGTGGCTCCCGATCATTGCCCTGTTTTGTCGGTCAGGAACCTGCCGGAAGCTTCGTCCGCCTAGGATTCGATAGCATGCTCTCCGGGGTAAGCAGGCTCACAGTTTACATTATGTATAAGTCATTGAGTGAACGTTGAATTTTGGGCACTTCAGTTTAGAGAACAAGGGTTTATGAGAATATGTCGAAGTATTTTGAGAATCTCTGGGATCCTCACAATGACGCGTATGCTGAATCCTTCTGCGTCGGCGATCGATTCTCCCAGTAAAGACATCCCGTCCTGACGTCCTTAGGTGACTCGGACGACTCGGTCATCGCTGATTCTCCGCAAATCCAGTCACGATCAACACAGTTGCAGCTTACAGCTGATCGTTCTGGTGTTCCCCTCTGTGACACAGCAGGCTCCGGGGGTTGAAATGGACGAATTCGAGAGCCTTCTTCAAAGCTTCTCAGACGCGCTCAAGTCGAAATGGAAGGAGGTTACCGAGGGCCCTCCGATCACGGACCAGATTCAGGCGTTCATCCACGCCGTTGATTGGACGGTGAGAAGCCTGATGTTCTAGAGCCATCGATCCGCGCTCGTCACGTAGCTAAGCTTTGACTCGTCCGAAGAGCCCTTGGTCCGTGACACGAAGCCAAGGCTCAGGTTATTACTGTACCAGGAGTTATTTTTAGGGGTTATCAGGACGAGTGACCTTGGCGAGATGGTGCTTGTAGTCGGTTCATTCTTTCGAAGTTCCCAGGTCTCCCCGGTTGCGTAGGTGCGTCCGTCACAGGAGCCGTGGATCATCAGTCTGCTGCTGTCCTACCACTCCGTGCTGCTTTCGATGATCCTCCTCACTCCGCGATTTGTCCTTCCGATCTTCCTGTTTGCGAATTGCATCCGTCACAGGAGCCGTGGATCATCGGTCTGCTGTCGTTCCACGCCGTGCTGCTCCTCATGGTTCTTCTAACACGGCGATGGCAGAACTTCCAGTTTGTCGTGTTCGCCTTCTGCGGTGAGTGCACGTCCTGCTCCGGACAGGATGTTTCTTTCCCTCCTTTTCTCTCTCATGCTCCTCCCCACTCGGCGATGGACGAACTTTCAGGTCACCGTATTCACGTTATGCTAAGAGTGGTTTCGGGGAGGTGCCTGCGTGCGCTGCTGGTGCTGTTGCTGCTACATGAGGAGCTGAGAACAGCAGGGAGGTGAAGGTGACTGAGTGTGAATGCTGAACGGCAGAGAATCACAGACCTTAGCACTCACTAACCCATCCATGTCACCATCATGTTGGCCATTGATTTTCGTCCCTACCTTCGCATACTGGTGTACTTGGCTGAGCACATACACTGCTCCTGTGCTTGTCTATCCGGGCTTCTTCCGACTCTCTTCCCCCTGCTTCCATTCGGCAGGTGTACTGGTGCATCTAGCGGAGCACATAAACGCGTATGCTGCCCTTGTATTAATATTCCTGGCCCTTCCCCCTTCGCTTTTCTCCCTAACACAATCATGCAGCCACACTGGTGTACCTAGCTAGCAGAGCATTTTTTAGGCGACTCAAAAATCACCTAGCTAGCAGAGCACATAAACGCATTCGCTGCTCATTGTTGAAAAATATTTCCCCCCACTACTCTTTACCCCGCTCCGCAATCCCAACTGCAGCCATACTGGTGTACCTAGCGGAGCACATAAACGCATACGCTGCTCATCACTGGAAGGCATTTTCCCGCCAGAACTACTTCGACCAATACGGGCTCTTTGTGTCGGTGCTCTTCTCCGGCCCGATTCTTGTCATCGGGATTGTCATTCTGGTAAGCAGGAATCAAGTGTCTGTGTCGCAGGTAAGTGTCAGATTGACCCTAGTCCAGGTTCAGTTCAGATTGGTCGGCACTTCCCAGACCCCATTCGTGCCATTGAGATTGTCATTTTGAGGTGCCTCGAAAGTCTGAATTGCCATTCTGGTATTAGGATTGAAGTGTCCGCTATCCAGGCAACCTTCAGATTTACTCAAATCAGCCTTTCAGGCCCGATTCTTTTCATTCTGGTATCAGGATTGAAGTCTCTGTTAGCCAGATAACTTTCAGATTGACTGCAGCCAGCCCTTTTCAGGCCCAATACTTCCAGGATTGCAATTCTAGTACCAGTCATGGAGTCCAACATCAGCCTCTTTTTTTTTTCTCTCAAGCGGTCCTTTATTATGTTTATAAGGGGTACAGAGGTACAAAATAGGGTTACGTATGTCATGGTGTCCCCGAGCATCCTACTGCTGCCCGGGCCACCTGCCCGGGCCACCTTGCAATTCTACTTTTTCTCTCTCTCTCTCTCTCTCTCTCTCTCTCTCTCTCTCTCTCTCTCTCTCTCTCTCTCTCTCTCTCTCTCTCTCTCTCTCTCTCTTTCTCTCTCTTTGTTCCGATCCCAAAATCATTAAAAAAAAAAGACTTTTGCGTGTTCGCCTTTGTCTTGCGGTATGCTTAGTCTATCAAACTTGTACAATCCCACGGAAAGGTAATTAAAAAAAAAAGTGGGGAGTATGGTTGAACTGATGGTGCTGTGAAGAATAATAAAACAAGGCCTATCCACTCTCCTCCCATCCCGTTTCCCTCCATCCTCATGCTCTTGTGTGCGCATATGCATATGTGCAGGTACAACCGTTGGCGAGTACGGTTGAATCATTGCGAAGTGGAAAAAAGCAATGCATGACCCCCCTCCTCTTCCCATCCTAACCCCCTCCCTCCTCTCTCTCAAGCGGTCCATATGTTTATTGAAACCTGGGTACAACCGAGACAGGTGAGAGGAATCTACGCAAGCTCATCCCTTACCCCTCCCCCTCCTAGTGGAGCCCACTAGGGCAGCTCGGCTCGTGGCTCGAGAATGGCAAAACAATCCCCCAGGAAGAAATCGGCCCCAGGGCAGCTGACTGGGCCTCATCTCTCTCTCTCTCTCTCTCTCTCTCTCTCTCTCTCTCTCTCTCTCTCTCTCTCTCTCTCTCTCTCTCTCTCTCTCTCTCTCTCTCTCTTTCTCCTGCATCTCTTTTCCCTCCCTCCTCCGGTGTGTGTGCATGCAGGTACAACCGATGGTGAGAACGATAGAGTTGATGGTGAAGTGGAAGAGAGCAGATTTCACCCTTTCCCTCCTCCGCCCTCTCCTGTGTGGGTGTGTGCTCATGCAGGTACAACTAATGGTCAGCACGGTAGAATTGATGGTGAAGTGGAAGAGAGCGGAGCTCAAGCACAGGGCGAGAAAGGCAGCACAGCAAGAGAGGAGAAAAAAAGAGTAGGTGCTATCAGCATGGTGGTCGTCAGTGTTAACGTAGAAACGAATGATTACTAGAGGTGGAAACCTAGAACAAATACTAGTTGGTTGTACTCACTAGAAGCATACCTCAGTCTAGCCTATAACTTCTACATAGATAATATGTATAAGTTGACACACCCCCTAGGCTAGACAAGGGGTGAAACTAAACAAGAAGCAAACAGCTCAGGGCGGCACTACTAGTCCAACCACTGAGGCAGGGGTCTGGAGACCAGTCAGCAAGAATACAACCAAAACTGAAGCAAGCCAGGGTGGCACTACTAGTCCAGCCACTGGAGGTAAGGCCACAAGGCCAGTCTGACAAGCATATATAATAGAGAGTACACAATCAGGATCCTAACAGGGGAGCAGCTATAGGAACAAGACCAAGCTGTACACAGTGCCGCTGATGATCTTTAGGCGCAAGCGCCTTAGTAAAGATATCAGCTGTGTTGGCACCTGAGGCCAAGTGAACTACGCGGGCCTGGCGGCGCTGCTGTAGCTCGCGCAGGAGGAAGTACCGCAGCTGGATATGCTTCGCTCTGCCCTCAAGCCGAGGCTGCTGACACAGGAGTATCATGGCCCTGTTGTCAGCGTACAGGACCGGGGCAGAGCTAGGCCGCTCACCTAAGTCTGTGAGCAAGAAGGTCAGCCAGCGGAGCTCCTGTGCCGCCATGGCACCAGCGTAGATCTCAGCCTCACAGCTAGACTGAGCCACAGACGACGAGCGAGTGGATCTCCAAGAGATAGCACCCGAACCAAGGCTGAAACAGTAGCCCTGCGACGACCTGAGCGTCTCAGCGTCGTCTGCCCAAGAAGCGTCTGTGTGCCCAGTAAGGACCACTGGCCTGCGTCCTCCTAGCACTAACCCCATGCCTGATGTACTAGCAAGATAACGCAAAACCCTCTTAGCGGCAGACCAGTGCTGAGGTCGGTGTCTGCCTGTAGCCACAAAGCGAGCCAGGATGCTGAGAGGGTATGCGAGATCTGGGCGAGTGCAAGTCATCAGGTACATGAGGCAACCCACCAGCTCTGCGTAGGGGCCACTGGGCTCTACTGGCTCCTCAGGAACGGGAGCAGAGAGCCCATGGTCTACAGGTAGAGGTGTGGGCTGTGCGGAGGAGAACTGAAGACCGAACCTCTGAAGGACCTGACGCACCAAGTGTGACTGGGTCAGAGTGATGGTGCGTGCTGCTCTGTCCCTAGAGATCTGCAGGCCAAGATAGCGACGCAGCTCTCCAAGGTCAGTGCAGGTGTGTCTCTTCAGCAGCTCAGCCTTCACAGAGGCCAGTGCGTCCCTGTCAGGAGTAGCAAAGACCAGGTCGTCTACGTAGACAAGGATGTAGAACGGAGTTTGGCCGGAACGCACAAACAGTGAAGGGTCAGCAGAGGACGGAAAGAACTGCAGGTCTGCTAACGTGGCACGTAGCGTGTCGTGCCACTCGCGGGGAGCCTGACGCAGGCCGTAGACCGGGCGCCTGAGAAGCCACTGGGTCCCAGGAGGGAAGGTACCAGTGAAGCCCTGTGGTCGGCGCAGGTAGACCTGCTCGTGTAGGCTGCCCTGAAGAAAGGCAGTAGAGAAGTCGAGGGAGTGAAGCCCGTAGTCACGCTGTGCTGCTACGTGTAGCAGCGCCCGAAGAGTGGTCATCTTCGGGGTCGGGGCGAAGGTCTGGAAGAAGTCAACCCCCTCGCGCTGACTGAAACCTCTGGCCACGTAGCGCGCCTTGAAGACAGGCGGCTCTCCAGGGGGGCGCTTCACCTTGAAGAGCCACCGAGCATCGACTACGTTCACCCTGGACGGGGGAACTGCGTCGACGTAAGTGCCGGTGGACCTCCAAGATGCCATCTCCTGCTCCATGGCAGCTATCCACTGAGAGGCCCAAGGTCTCGAGATGGCCTCAGCGTAGATGCGAGGCGCGGGATGTCGAAGGCGTCTGGGTCACCCTGAGGGACTAACAGCATGGAGCAGAGATGGGGAGCAGCCTCGGAAAGGAAAGCCAGCTCGTACTGCCTGTCCTCTAGGACGTCACTGCCAAGGGCAGGAGCACCCCCGACGGACAGAGGACGGGCAGGGTCAGAGACCAGAGTGGTAGCGTAGTCAAGGCGGCGGGTAGAAGCGAAGTCAGCGACAGCAGCGACAAGCGCGTCAAGGCGCGAGACAGGAACAGCAGGGTCGGTAACAAGAGAGGCAAGGACCCGAGGGACAAGGGGACGAGCAGCACGGAGGTAGTCAGAGAACGGAGGAGGTGCAACAGCAAGGGACGAGGGAGGAGGGGACGGGAGGAGGGGAGGACGAGACGAGTGGGAACGGAGCAACATAGGGTGGGTGGGCAGGACAGGAGAGACGGGACGAGCACGGGAGGGACGGCGAGCCCAAACGTGAGACGGAGGGGTAGGGTCAGGGGACAGCGGAGGAGACACAGGAGGGGAACGAGGAGGAAGACGGGCCGGAGACGAGTCTGGCGGCGGGAACACAGGACCGTAGACAGGGAGGTCAGGAGGCGGTGGGGGAGACACCGGCGCGCGGTCCGGGGAGGGAAGGCCGAGCAGGCGGAGAGCGGAAACCGGCGGCGACGGCTGCTGCGGCGGCGACGACGGCTGGGCCGGAACTCTCGGACCAGCAGAGGCAGAACGACCGTCGGCAGAACACTCAACAGCAGCACCCCCAGAACCAACACCCCCAGAGCGAGAACCCCCTCCAACACCAGCGGCACCCCCAGAAGCCGCAGGACGAACACCCTCCTCCACACCAGCACCCCCAGGGGCCGAGAGCAGCGGCGGCAGTGGCGGCAACGGCTGCGGCGGCGGCGACAGCGGCGACGGCTGCGGCGGCGACGGCGACGGCGGCGGCAGCGGGGTCGGTGACTGCGACAGTGGGGGCGGAGGCACCGGGGAAGGGGGACGCGGCAAGGACGGACCGGGGGTACCACCAGAGTCAGCAGACTCCTCAACGGGGACAACCGACGGGAGGGGAGTGACGTGGGAGACACCAGACGGGGCAGGACGAGGCGGGAGAGGGGCAGGGGCTACCGGGGGAGAGGGAGCAAGGAAAAGGGGGGGGGCAACTGGGAGACCTCGGTGAGGGAAGCGACGGTAGAAGGAGACGGACTCGTCAAAGGTGACGTCACGAGAGTGGAGGAAGCGGTGAGACGGCGGGTGGTAGAAAAGCCAGTCAGACGAGTCCAGGGGGAAACCGAGGAAGACACAGGGGACAGTGCGGGCAGTGAGCTTGTTCGTGCCAGAGGCACGAACGTGAGCAAGGCAGCCCCAGACGTGGAACGCAGACGCGTCACCGGGGACCCGGTCCAAAGGAGGGTCGGCGAAACCTGCGGCCGCTGGGAGCGTGGCCACAGGTTAAGCTGGTGAGCCGCGTAGCGAACAGCGAACGGCCACAGAAAATGGGGGGCATCGGCATGGATCATGGAGGTACGGGCGACCTCCATGACCAAGCCGATGCGGCGCTCAGCAACCCCATTCTGCTGTGGCGAGTCCGGCAACGTGTACGACTGGGTGATGCCCTCCGCACGACAGAACTGTCCAAGCCGACCAGAGGCGAACTCGCCGCCACGGTCGGAGTGGAGACACAACACGGGGAGACCGCGGTGGAGACGCGCAGCCACAACCCACGGGAGAAGAACGTCGGGCACGTCGGCCTTCCGCTCCAGGGGAAACACCGTGGTGTAGCGCGTGTAGTCGTCGACGAGCACAAGGAAGTAGCGCTCACCGCGCGGTCCGGGGACGGGGGCAGGGCCCCAAACGTCCAAGTGCAGGGTCTGAAGGGGGGCAGTAGCAGGACGCAGCGAGGAGGAGTGAGGAGCACGGCGGAGCCGACCCTCGACGCAAGGCGTGCACGGTGGCGCAGTCGAGGGAGGAAGGGCAGGGAGCGACGCGGGGAGACCTAAGACAAGACCGTGCTGGGACATGTGACGCAGACGCGGGAGAGCAGGGTGACCTAAGCGGTGGTGCCAGAGAAGGGATGGGTGAGTGAGGGACCGACACGAGCAAGCTGCAGCGACCTGGGAGGACGCACCAACCGGGGGGGAAGCGGTGTGTAGGGTAAACAGACCGGACACCGGGTCCCGGGGGAACGTCGCAAGGGGGGAACCTGAGACAGCCTCAGAACAGACAGCGAACCGCTCGTGCCCGGGGAACGTGGTGGTGACGCCGAGGTCCTGGAGACAGCCGACACCAACCAGGTTCCTGGAGAACGAGGGAACGTGGAGGCCAGTAAGGGAGCCCGAGGGAACTGCCGGACAGGGAAGGGACGTAGAACTGCGCGCGACGACCGGACCCGCAGAGGGGTCAGCGAGAGAGACAACAGCAGGTGCAGCAAGCGGCGTGAGCGTGGAACGGTTGCGGAAGAAGCAGGCAGAAGCACCAGAGTCGAGAGTGAAGGACAGCGACGCAGTGGCGGAGGCCGGGGACGGAGCCGGTGCAGCGACTAGACTAGGCAACCTAGGCAGTCCTACGCCTGTCGCAGCAGGGGAAGCTAAGCTACACAAGGGTGAAACACCTAAACTAGAGTACACAGGGTAGTAAGATCCAGCAACACTAGAAGCGTCAGCATACAAAGCATGCAAAGCAGCACCTATCTGATCCATGTCTAACTCAAAGATCGGCACGCCCTGGCGGAGCAGGCTGTGCCAGTCAGGGAGGTCCGGGGCCGGGCCAAAGCGACGACGAAAAAGATCGTCGAGGCGGCGGAAACAGCGGGCGGTCGGGTGCGGGCGGCGGCACAGAGTGCCGCGGAGAGGCCCGGTCTGAAGCTGGTACTGGCAGGTCACAGCACTGGAGCCGCTGGTAGACGCCAAGCTGCGCGGGCCGCCACCACGGCCACCGCCTCCGGAGGTGCCGGGCCAACCAGGCGGGAGACGAGCCCACAGCTGCGGCGGGTGCTGCTGGGACGGCGGCTGCGGCTGGGGCTGGTCCTGCTGCTGCTGGGGCTGCTGCTCCTGCCCACCGGTGGTAGTCCCCTCAGGCGGACTACCGTCACCACCACCACGACCGCTACCACCTGCGTCACCACCCCTACCTCCCTGGCGAGCGCTGCTGCGGGTGGACAGCAGCAGCCGTCTCGGTAAGAGGGGTCGCCGTGGCGACCGCAGCCGAAACGTCAGTGAACGTGCACTGGGATGGGGCACAGCCGTGAAAGATAGAGACTGCCGGCGCACCGCTCGACTGAGCGATAGTGCGCTGGCGAGTCTCGATCTCAGTGAGGGTGTCGACAAAGGCGGTCAGGGTGAGGTCACCCGGGTGCTGGCTAAGAAAGTGGTCGCGAGCACTAGCGAGGCGGTCTGGCAGGCGCATAGCGATAAAATAGAGCGTCATGCAGAAAGGAGGGGGGAGCGCAGTGAGCTGGGCAGCAGTGCTGGCAGTGCGATAGCGAGTCTCTAGGGCACGCAAATGAGTGGCAAAATCTGCGACAGTAGGGAAGGCAGCCAGGTCTGGGAACAGCATCGGAAAGAGCAAGCGGCCAGCAGAAGCGGAGGCAGGGGTGGAATAGCGAGCAATAACGGCGTCTAAATAAGCTTTGGCCGTTTCAACAGTAGCAAAACGCGAGCGCTCAGACACAGGGAGGGCGTGACTAATAGCAACCTGAGCTACTGCATCGCGTGAGTCCCAGACCACACAGGCCAGCGCAGCAGTAGAGAAAGCCTCACGGTCATCAGAGGAGGGGTCAGCAGGGAGGGGAGTAGGTGCAGGGGGACGGGGGAGCAAGCCATCAGCATGGACAACTAGAGAGTGGCCATCCTGGCGCTGACCTGTAAGCTGGCGGCGAAGATCGGAGAGCCAGGCGGCGAAGTCAACCGCGTGGCCCTCAGCGTCCAGGCGGAGCACAAAGTCAGCCATCGTGCAGGGTCAGCAGCACAGCTCCTCAGCGACACAGCGGCACAGCAGCACAGCTCCTCAGCGGCACAGGAGCACAGCGGCGCGGGGACACGGCGGCAGCACTCTCCAGTAGGGCAGCAGCTAGGCGTCCCAGCGCAGGCAAGCAGAAGACACAGGGCCCGAGAGGACACGGCAGGCCGAGCAGGGGAGGCGGGCAGGTGCTCTGGGGCCGGGCTGGTGCTGGGAGGGGCCAGGCTGGTGCTGCTGGGGCCGGTCGGGCACGAGGAGGGGCCGGGCAGCGCTGAGGAGAGGCCGAGCGGTGCTAGGAAGGGGCCGGGCGGCACTAGGAGGAGGCCGGGCGGCACTAGGAGGAGGCCGAGCGGCACTAGGAGGAGGCCAGGCGGGCGAGCGCTAACAGCAGGCGCGACAGGGGCCAGCGGGCGCGACGGGGCCTAAGGGGCGCGACGGGGCCCAGCGGGCACGGCGGGGCCCAGGGGGGGCGCGACGGGGCCGAGGAGGCGCGACGGGGACCAGCGGGCACGACGGGGCCCAGGGGGGCCGCGACGGGGCCTAACGGGCGCGACGGGGCCCAGGGGGGGCGCGACGGGGCCTAGCAGGCGCGACGGGGCCTAGGAAGCGCGAAGGGGCCCAGCGGGCGCGACGGGGCCTAGGAGGGGCGCGACGGGGCCGAACGGGCGCGACGGGGCCCAGAGGGGGGGGAAGCGACGGGGCTTAGGAGGCGCGACGATGCCTAGGAGGCACGACGGGGCTCAGCGGGCTCGACGGGGCCCATGGGGGGCGCGACGGGGCCTAGGAGGCGCAACGGGGCCCAGCGGGGGCGCGTTAGGGCCTAGGGGTCGCGACGGGACCCAGCGGGCGCGACGGGGCCCAGGGGGAGCGCGACGGGGCCTAGGAGGCGCGACGGGGCCCATCGGGCACGACGGGGCCCAGGGGGGGCGCGACGGGGCCTAACGAGCGCGACGGGGCCCAGGGGGGGCGCGACGGGGCCTAGGGGGCGCGACGGAGCCTAGGAGGCGCGACGGGCGGAAGCGGTAGGCGGGGGGATCCTAACCTAAGCGTGATACCATGTTAACGTAGAAACGAATGATTACTAGAGGTGGAAACCTAGAACAAATACTAGTTGGTTGTACTCACTAGAAGCATACCTCAGTCTAGCCTATAACTTCTACATAGATAATATGTATAAGTTGACAGTCAGACCTAGATGTTGCCTTCTCAAACAGATGGTGATGGTGCCAGATGCCTGCATTGTGCTCTGCAGCTTTGGGAGATGGTATTGGAATGGATAGTTGTTGTGTTGCCCTGAATGTTGCCTGCCCAGATAGCAGGCTCACCGAAATTAAGGGTGGGTGGGAAAGTCCGCTCAGTTATACTTTTCGGCCGTTCATTCTGCCCGTCGGGAGAATTTGGGCTGCTTAACATGTACAGTAACGAGGTGATTCAAACAAGGCAAACAAACATCTTGATCTAAAAATTTGAGAATGTTACCAATCGCATTGATTTAAACAATTCGTCAAAACGACAAAAACCTACGCTGTGTAATAAATCGTCTGGTGTTGTAATAGTCTAAGTATAAAACTACAAACACAAACACTTGGCAAATCCTCAAGTGTTGGTCCAGGATCTTTGCTGGAATGGTAGACTAGTAAGACAGCGGAAGTCTTGTAAAATATACTGGTCAAGGTTGAATAACCTGAGTACGTGAACTTGTGGTAATCAAAGTTAATAATGACAAAGATCTAACAAGGATTTATAGTACTACGAAAAGTACCTGTTCGCTGATGTACCTGTTCGTCACTATCGCGCTATGCGCCCTAGATGATAATAAAGAGGTGCAACTATTCGCGTGACTGAAGCGACTGTCCTATGACGAGCGCTATTTGCTGACGTCATCCTACGGACTTATATTCTGCAGTAGGATTCGACACTAACTACACTTTATCGACTTACAGAAATGCTAAATACTAATTATATCACAACACTCCCCTTCATTTCCGGAACGTCGACAGTGTCACTTCTTGAAGATTCCGCAGAGCTTGTTACAGTACTGAAACTTCTGTCGTGTCAGTTTCTTCGTGAGAAAATCGGCAGCCATTTCATTGGTCGAACAGTAAACCAATCGCATCCTCCCCTTCTCAACTTCATCTTTGACGAAAAAATAGCGAAGCGAAATATGCTTCGTTCTGTTGACGAAACCAGGTTGATGTGCGATGCGAATTGCACTTTGATTATCGCACTGTAGGGTAAACTGGGTAGTTGTCGTCAACGCCGCTTCTTCCAGTAGTTCCTGTAAGTAGAGACCTTCGCGTGTTGCTGTACAGACAGCAATAAACTCAGCTTCAGCAGAGGAGAGGGCAATCAACTCCTGCTTCGTCGAATTCCAAGAGATAGGGCCGATAGGTTCCAGTCGATAGATAAATCCAGTGCGCGACCGTCGATTAGTAGAATCAGCAGCGTGATCGGCGTCGACAAAACCGTGTAGATAGAGTGTTTTACAGCCGATGACGTTGTAGACTAATCCGACGTCAGGTGTCGAGATGAAATATTGAAGCGCGCGGAGTAGATCGAGCTGATGTTCCTCCTCAGGACAGCGTAGGAACTGAGCAAGCTGGCTGGCTGCGTAGGCTAGATCAGGACGACAGGTAACAGCTGCGAAGAGTAGACAGCCTAGTTGCTGCTGATAGATCTGTAAACCGGTTGGAGTTAGCGGTGCAGTATTCGGTTTGTGATCTGTCGGTAGTGAGCGGTACGGAGTAGAAACTGTAGTAGACGTGAGGTTGAAGCGGGCAGCGAGTGTTGCTGCATACTTAGAAGCAGTAAGATGAATAGTCGTTAGTGAACTGGTAATATTCAGGCCAAGAAACTGTGAGACTGTTTCGGAGACGGTAATCTGTAGATTTTTCTGTAGTTTCAGTATGAAGACGTTAGCGAGGGAATCGTTAGTACTGACGAACAGGATGTCGTCGACATAGGCAACGAGTAAAATGTAGTTGCTGCCGTCGATCAGTCGATACATTCCCTGATCATGCGGTAACTGTCGAAATCCAGCATTGATCAGCTGCGAGTGAAGATACTGCTGCCAGAGCCGTGGTGCCTGTTTGATGCCGTATAACGACTTTCGTAGACGGCATACGCTCGGTGGGTTAGTATCATAGGAATGTGGGTACTCTACCAGGATGAACGCGTCGACAGGTGCGTAGAGAAATGCATTCGAGACGTCGATTTGTCGAAGTCGGAGATTACGGCAGGCGGCGACACACAGAAGAATTCGGACGCTTGTATGTCGACCGACAGGAGCGAAAGTTAGTTCGTAGTCAATGCCGAAAGTCTGCTCAAATCCGCGAACGACCCAACGTGCCTTGAACTTCTCGAACGACCCGTCTGCATTAGTTTTGACACGAAAGACCCATTTTCCGGTAAGTACCTTCTTCCCTTTAACCTCTGAAGTCGGTAATAAGTCCCATGTGCCGCGGTCTTTGAGAGCTGCTAGCTCCCTGTCCATGGCTTCGCGCCATTTTTCTCGGTGAGGACTTGTAAGAGCTTGTCGAACTGTTTTCGGTTCAGGTATCTTACTGTCGTTGCGCTGTACTGCTACTGCAAATCCCAGTATTTGCAATCCTGTTTCTGTAAAACGCGGACGTTCTTCGTTTGCACCTGCGAAATTTTCTTCTGGTCCTTCTTCCCCCCCAATTTCGTCAGGTGTAACACGAACTGCTTCATCGGAGACGACGGGCATCGGCTGCTGTTGGCGATCGCGTTCGTAACTAAGATGGACTTCGCGAACGTCATTCGGGTCAGCATCGGCAAGTGGGATAAATTCAGGTATGCCAGTCGAGGTTACAGGTTCGGGAATGTCAGTTGCGATAGCTTCGGAAGCTTCAGAAACATCCTCGTCTTGGACATCAGCTTCGGCTTCGTCAGTTGCAAAAGCACGCGAGCCTTCGAACAGCCTGGCAGGGTTGGCAGCTGCTGCCTGATGGGCACGAAAAACGGGCAAGGTGAGTCTTTCGTAGAAGAGACAATCACGTGAAGGAACGATTTGTTTTGAGCGAAGATCCAAAATCTTCCACGCATGATACTGTTTTTCGATGCCGAGGTGTAACCCCCATTTTGCCCTTTCGGAAAATTTGCCGAGTGCTGCAGTTGGAGGTCGAAACTGAACGACACACCCGAAAACTCGTAAAAGTTTTGTGCTCCCCACTGTTTTTGTCCACTGCAGGTGCGGAGATGAGAACTCGGGCAGGGACGTTGAAGAAAGAAGATTGTGTAACAGCACGGCGTGGTCCATCGCATATGGCCAGAAATGCGGTGGAAGGGCTGCCTGCATCAGCAGAGCACGCATCTTCTCCTGCAGAGTCCTGTTCATCCTTTCTGCTACCCCCATCTGTTGGTGTGCATGTGGCAGAGCCTGTTTCCGTTTGATGCCGAGTGTCTGAAGGTATTCTGTGAAGGTGTTGCTGGTATACTCTCCTGCACCATCACTCTGAAATTCTTGTAGTTTGACTCCAGACTCTCGTTCAGCGACTGCAAGCCACGCGACGAAGACGGAGTGCGCAAGATAGCGAGCCGGAAGGTTTGCTGTCCAGACATAGCGTGTAGATGCTTCGATAAAAGTGATGACATACTTCTCGTCTTTCGGTCCTGCTTCAGGTAAGTTTAGTATGTCGCTGTAGACTTTCTGCATCAGTTTGTAACGAATTGATCCAGGAAAATGACTTGGAAATGGATCGTGAGTAAGGTTGGCAACTGGACATGTGGTGCAAACCGTCGGACGAGTCTGGGGCTTCAGCTCCGTGCCATCAGGTAAGAGGAGACTGTTTTTATCAAGAACTGCTGCTCGGATTGAATGATTTAGTATTGCTTGAGATGGATGTCCTAAACGCTGATGCCATATGTCTTCTGTGGCTTTGTGTCCTGATGATCGCAGGTAAAAATCGGAGTTAGTGTAAAAAGAAGAGAGGACAAAAGGAGATAGCGCTGGTGATTTGTCGGAGTCTCCTTCGATAAAACGGGTAAGAGGTAAAATAACAGGCGTCGGTGTGGGTAAAGGTGTAATTGCAACTGCTAACGCTGCTTCTGTTGATGTCGTGGCAGGTGTTTCGGCGGCAGCTACTGTTGAACTCAGCTGCTCAGCTACAGGTTCTTGTTCTGCTTCCGGAACGACGTCAGGTTCATCGGCTGCAAGACCACTAATCTCCCCCCAAAGTGGTGCTGGAGTTCCTTGGAAGGCTGCACGAGTGTTGTAAAACGTTCGCCATGCAGTGGCGCCTTCATCGGCAGTGTTAAACTCCCAGGTATCCAAGGCGGTAAGTACAGCCGCTTCAGTTCGGGAAGTTGTAGGTACTGATGTTGCTCGAAAATCAATGTCCACGTGCTGATAATCTGTTTCTTCCGGATGATCCCAGGGACCAAGTGCAAGGACGCGATCAGAATCACCAGAAGTTCCTTGTGCGGCAAACTGAAGAACTGACACGCCATGTTGAGTGGCGGCACGACCAAGGTAAGTATTTGTTGAGCTGTTCCAGAGCTCTTGATCCATCGTATCACAATTTCCTTGTGTGCGAATTTTGTGTGCCAGGAGTTGAGCCGTGGAAAGAAGATTGAAGCCGAGACCAGCGACAATAAGAACGTTAGTAACATGAAGTGAGTATCCCGTGTCGATTGATTCCAACATGACACTTCCAACTGAACGTGCCATTATCGTTTGTCCGTTTGCGACTGTTACAGGTATCGGACGACGAAGCGGACGCTGGTTCGTAATGAAGCTTGTTTCTGCGGAGCACATGTGCCATCCGCAACAACTGTCAAGATACCAAGTATTCGGACCTGAAATTATGCGAGCAAGGTTAGCGTAAACTTGAGGTAAAGGAATGCCTTCAGCACTTGTCGTTTCTTCAAGTCGTGTTTCAAAATCTGCTTCTGTAACATCAACTGTGGTAACGCATCCGAAGACGGATTTTCCTGTTGTGGCAGATGCGAAGACAGGTGGACGATGCTGCGACGTCGAGGAATTCGGCGGCGGCTTCGGCACCTGCTGCTGCTGTGGAGTTAACTGCTGCTGTGGCGATTGTGTCTTTGGTGTCTGCTGCGAACGGTGATACGGCTGCGAAGTGTTGCGACGGGTTTGATGACGACTGCGACAATTCTGATAAGTATGGCCTGGTTTCTTACAGTAATGGCAGAACGGATATTTTGGCGGATGTCGATGCTGTGTTTCAGGATTGGAGTAAAAACTTAAATGAACCCCCCTTTTCTGGTTGCGTTGTGACTGCAAGTCAAGATCTTGCTGCTCTGCTTGAAGATAAGAAGAAATTTCGGCTTCGGAGAGGTTCGGATTCATGCGCAGGAAGGCACGTGTCTGACGCCATTCGGGTCCAAGACCAGCCAGAAGGACAGTGAGATACATCTCACGAGGGAAGTATCCTCCGCTCTTTTCAAGTTGATCGCGTAGTGTACGGACGCGATTGACGTAGTCCATGACG